GCCAAGTTCGATAACATTATCTATATTTGAGTCAAAAAAGCGCTAGAGCTTTGAATTTGATATTGGAAATCATATAGAAACTGGGTTCGTAGGCGGATTTGGAGTTTGCACTAGAACCCCAATGTTGCCTATATTACATTTAAAACCTTTTTTTATTATAGTAAAAGATAGCTTTTTTAGATTTAAACTCACTTTGATAAACTTTTTATAGATGATATGATAAATTCATATTTGAAACGAGAACTATATCAATTAGAGTGTTTGATAAATTATTTTTTGAATGAATTAATTTTCTTATTTATGTTTATTATTTATTTTTATTAATGAATAAGAATTCTTTAATCTTATTTATTAAAATTATAAAATAACTATACATACAAGAATAATTCAAAAATATATAAATGAAAATAATAATCTTACCTTCAATATTTTTAAACTTATGTTATCGTAGGATTTTAATATTCATATTGCCAATTATAAGAAATGACTAAAGTTCGTAAGAGTAAAAAAAGATTTTTTCTAAGTATTATGTTGCAAGGTTTACTAATCAGACTTTTATAATTGTATATTGTTAAGCTTACATTAAATTAACGCAGATTATTTGCTAACTGTAAGTTTGATTACATCTAAACTATAAAAGAAATAAACATGAATTAATTATTTAAAGAAGAATAAATTATAAATGAGTAGAGATTTAAGTTTCAGAGATAAAAATTATTATTTTATTAGAGATTAGTAATGACTCTGCCATTTTCCAAGGCAAAGTTACAGAGTATTTATATAAAATAATCAAATAGAAATAAAAAATGTCCTATTCATAATATGATAAATATAATAAATATAATAAATCTATCTAATATGAACTAACTAATAAATTTAATAAATTTAACAAATATAATAAACATCATATTCATCAAATTTGTTAACCAAATCAGATTACATGTTGTAGATTGGCACAGCCTGGATCACGCATACTTGATTATAGAAGGTTAAATATTTAGAAAATAATACAGGATTGATGAGATTTTTGAAAAGTCTTTAAAGATTTAGGAAATATTTGTGTTAAGAAATCAGGTACATTTGGTAAGCTAGTTAAGATAAATTAAGGAATTGGGTAAGGTTGGAAAGATAGTTATTTCAGTAGAAGAACAATGGAGTCCCGTTAAGGAGTTGGGTAATGTTGGTAGGATAGTTATTGGAGTATAAGAGCAATTAAGTTCTGTTAAGGAGTTAGGTAATGTTGGTAGAAAAGTTATTAGAATATAAGAGCAATCAAGTTCTGTTAAGGAGTTGGGTAATGTTGGTAGGAAAGTTATTGGAGTATGATAACACCGGAGGTTTGTTAAGGTGTTGGGTAATGTTGGTAGGATATTTATTTTAGTAAAGGAGCAACAAAGTTCTAATAAGGAGTTGGGAAAGTTGGTAGGATTGTTATTGGAATATTGTAACATCTGAGTATTGTTAAGGAATTGGGTAAGGTTGATAGGATAGTTATTGGAGTATTAAAACACCAGAGATCTATTAAAGAGTTGGGTAAAGTTGGTAGGATAGTTATCAGAGTATCAGAGCAGTTAGGTTCCGTCAAGGAGTTGGGTAATGTTGGTAGGATAGTTATTTTAGTAAAAGAGCAGTCAAGTTTTGTTAATTTTCGATATCTTTGTAATCCTCCTAAGGCGTTTAATATGTCATCCTTATTAGATTCTGTAATCCTTAAACTTTCAATGATATCATCATAAATAATATCTGACACATCATTATCTAATCCTACTTTCATCTGATCAAATCGAATAATTTGAGAATCTTCCTCTAATGAATTATTTACGTTAGAAACAGCTTCGAAGTTATTTGATGCGTAATTATTCATTTGATTATTTTCTTTTATGTTTGTTTTCGATACAATTGAATTTAATTTATCAACTAATTGATTCATTGATGGACGATTATCTGGCTCATTATCCCAGCACCCTGAAATTAGTTAAAAATTTAATAATCATTATATATCTTATAAATAATTTATAATCATATATTTACCAGTATAAATGTTCACATAATCATCAGGCGTGTCAGGAATGGTCCTTTCTCTAAGTCCTCC